CCCACAGCTAGTACACAGAGGATCCAGGATTAGTACTCAAGTCTGTTTATGCCATGCTGTTCAGAGTTCCCAGATAATGTATATGTCCTTTCTCTGTCCTCTTCTATGTTTGTATTAAAGAAAACTTCTGGTTCACACACTGAACTTGTACAGAATTGGTCCATAGAATTGAATTAGTCATAATCTTTGGTTGTATGACACAGTCTTGTGGTTGATCCCTACATGGCTTTATTTATTTGACTGTTTAAAATAACAATGAACACAACTGAACACATTGCCCAGCCCAAGAATTAGCTTACCAAGGTGCTCCTCCCCATTCCACCCCCAAGAAGTAACCACTCTCTATAATTTTGATACAGTAGTAATATATAAATAAATCTTCAATGTAAAAGTAGCTAAATACATGTAGAGATTTTTAAAATAAATGAACTCATACCATACATATTGGTTTACAACTTGGTTTTTTTATACTTAATATTTCTTGGAGGTTTTTCTCTACAAGATATCCCTAAGGAACCAAATTCTCTAAAGTTTATTGATAAATGAGGAGTATCTGCTTTGGTTCCACAACCTCTAGGGGATCTTTGCCACAGCCTTCAGATTCCTTGGTTTGAGCCTAAATGTATGTAATATCTGGAGGTAGTTGTGACACCTCCGCATGTAGCAAAATCCTCTACATATTGCAGGACGTATGTATGCACACTGCCCATCCCCCCACACACCCCCCCACACACACACAGCTCAACAAATATCATTTGTTAAATGGTTAGCATTTGTTATAATTGTGTCAAGTTCACCTTTCCTTTAGTTAAAAGTAACAGTGTAACAATGTTTGCATAGAAAAGTAATTATACTTTTTAAATAATAAACTTCATGCTTTATTTGAACACATAGTTATAACAAAAAATATTTTCTTTAAGTGGTAGTTATAAAATTTACTGAGATGTAACTTTCAGACTCTGCACTTTTACCCCAATTTATTAGCTATTTATTTTGCTTATTGCATAAATATTTAATTTTCTGGGATTTAATTTGGTCTCTAGAATCCCGTTTATCCTGTTCCTAATATTTCCTTCCATGGCTCACTTATACTAACCTTACTGGGAAGACTCAAGAGAGAAAGAATTATCTTCTTCCAGGCTTACAGTAGGTTCAATTCTGGAGCCACCATATTACCTTTTTTTGAATGTCAATGTTGAAGGTATTAATGTAAAACCACGAAGGTAAATGCTTTCCTCCCTATATGGGTTCTAGAAAAAAAGGTAAGCTGTTGAACATGCCCCCCCCCCACCGCCCACTTACAAGAAGCTGTTCAAAAAACTATTTGAAAACAAAAAGGAGATAAGTTTCTGACTGTGACCATATAACTTTCCCCCTGCAACTTGAAAGAATGATAATATCTCTACTTATATCAAGGGGAGCATAGTAGCTAGAATGCACAGCTAACCCTGATAACTTCTTAGTAGTGGCTCTACCCAGCTACTTAATTGCTGCACTATAAGTTATAGTACCTTTCTGGTGATTCTAGATCAGCAAATATAGAGCATATAAAATAGGTTTCTATAAATTTCTATACTAAGGGGAGAGTGAGGGGGGAAACAGCCTTTCTTGGTACTTACTGTGCACACATTAAGTAATCTTGTTTCTTATACCCTCCTTGTAAAGTAAGAGGTATTTTCCTCCTTTTTACAGATAAGGAAATGGAGATTAAAGTAAGCGTTCCTCTTGTTATGAAATTATCTGTTCATCATGCATTTCCCTCCCATAATGATCTGTATGGTCTCCACAGGCAGGGACCAGATATATTTGTCACTTTACTTCAGTTTCTAATGGAGTGTCTGGCACATAGTAGGTGTCCTGCAAAGTTTCTTGAAGTGTGAAAGGTAACTTGCTCAGGATCCCATGGTGAAAGAGTTGGGGGTGCAGAAGCTTGTGCCCTTTTCCACTGTACCACCTGCCTCTCCCCTCCCGGAGGGTTTAGGGAATGTGCCTGGCATTGGTGTTCTTATCTCTTTAGTGGTTTTAAAGATTCCCAAGGTGCATTTGACTTATAAATCAATCCTTGTTGAAGGCTTCTGAGTTTAGGATAATTGCCCTCATGTGATTTGTGAATTACTTTCAGTAATAACCCGACTATAATTATGTTGAGGCCAGTTGCTCAACTATATTATTTAATCTTTCCCCATATTCTGTAATTTTGTGATCTTAAATTTGGATACTTCATAGCATGCCGATCACATTTCCTAATGAATTTATCCAGTGAGAATCAGTCACTGTACCACAGTGGAAAGATCATGGGCTCTCAAGTCAGACAAATGATCATCTTTATTCCAGTTTTGCCATTTACTCCTTGCATAATTTTGACCAAATTATTTAACCTCTCTGTGCCTTGGTTTTCTCTTTTCTAAAATGGAAGCCATTATTTCTACCTTATTGGCTGGTTTGAAAATTAAAGTTCAGATGAGATAATATGTAGAGTGCCTGATGCATGGCAAGCACAGATAAATGGTGCTTCTGTTTGTTCGGAATGATGAGCCAAGTCTATGAAGAGAAAGTTTGGTTAGAATAAATGTTGTCTAGAACTTGGTACTAAATACACAAAAATACAAAGTGCAGCATATGGGAGATGTGGCTTATCAATAAGGGCCTAGGGAGCCTCAGGTGACTGCCTGCTCGGTCTGAGTCAGCAGTATTATGCGGCAGCCGAAAAAGGTTTTAAAAGATAGCATCCAGATCCAAGAGGGGGACAGTTCTCCACACTGCTCTGGTCAGATTCTCCCTGAACTTTGTGTTTCAATGTCTAGGCAGGGAGAATCACTGATTAAGCAGTCTGTCAAAAGAGACACTACCAGAGTGGTGAGAAATGGTGGGCCCATGCCACATGAAAAGAGTAGATGGCTTGAGGAGATTTAGCCTGCAGTGTGTGTTACAAAATGGAGGTAGGGGAGTGGAGGGTGAAGGGATAAAATAAGTATCTGTTTCTAAAGGGTTATGTTCCACTTGTTCCCTATGACTCTAGAGGGTAAAAGATGACCAGGGATGTAAGTTGTATGGAGGAGATTCAGTTTAATAAGTCTTTCTCTCAAAAGATTAAAGGTGTATAAAAATTAAACTGCCTTCCTTGGTTTTTGGTGATCATGCAAAGGCCAGATAAGTCTATTGTGAGGGTGCCATAGAGGAGATTTATCATCACTTCCGTTTGAAGATTAGACTAGAACCAAATGATCTTCAAGACCCCTCCAACCTTGATGTTTTTGTGATTTCATACCCAAGCCAAGTGTAGCTTATTTGTAAAGGAGTATAAAAAGAGTGATAATCAAATCAAGTCCTTGCCTCTATAATGCAGCTTACATTTTAATTGGAGGAGCAACACACATTCCAACAGTTCTTAAAAGTATTAGGATGAAGTCATAATATGAGAATGTCATAGGGCTGATTATGATTATTTGCTAAGTGAATGTTGGAATTCAATGCTTTTCAACCTTTTTTTATTATTTCAAATTTTTATTTAAATTCTAGTTAGTTAACATACAGTGTAATCTCAGTTTCAGGAGTAGAATTTAGTGATTCATCACTTACCTATAACACCCAGTGCTCATCACAAGTGGCCTCTTTAATACTCATCACCCATCTAGCCCATCCCCCGCCCACCTCCTTCCAGCAAGTCCCCGTTTGTTCTCTATCATTAAGAGTCTCTTATCGTTGGGGCACCTGGGTGGCTCAGTCGTTAAGCAGCTGCCTTCGGCTCAGGTCATGATCCCAGGGTCCTGGGATCGAGCCCCGCATTGAGCCCCACATCAGGCTCCCTGCTCTGTGGGAAGCCTGCTTCTCCCTCTCCCACTCCCCCTACTTGTGTTCCCTCTCTCGCTGTCTCTCTCTGTCAAATAAATAAATAATATCTTTAAAAAAAATCAAAATAAATTTTAAAAAATGAAGTCTATTAAAAAATTGTTCATGTCTTTATTTTAAATTACTGGAGCCAAACTTAATAATTAAATGGAGTCTAACTTATGAAACTCTGAACTCTTGGCAATTTCCATCAATAAACTGTAAAGACCATACATACTTAACCACACATTCAGTCAGTCAGAACTCTTGACATCTTCAGCTGAATGTTATCTGTGGTTTGTCCACAGGGTTAGGAAGGGAAGGGGAATGTGAGGATTATATCAATAACATCAACACTTGTTTGGCATAGACCCTAGAAAAGCAAAACCAATGTTCATTCAACAACCAATGTATATGGCAGGTTTAACTCTACATTGGGACAGACACCTCCAGCTAAAATAGCTTGATGATGATTGATGACTTTCTAGCCGTGAGTGTCCTCCAACTAAGACCACCTGCTCACCAGAGCAACTGCTAACTATCAGTTGGTTTCCCCTTTTGAGGTGCCTATTGGGAACATCTATAATTTTTATTATAAATATTCTTCAGGGAATACTTATATATCTGAAAATCATTTAAAATTATTCTCAAATACCAACTAACCCAGTTTGAAAATACTGAGGGTCTCTTTCCTCATAAGTAAAATGGGGAGTAAATTAATTCATCTCTAAAGAGTTCCTTACTTCTAAAGTTCTGTAGCTTTATAAAATTCAGCCCTTAAAAAGTACTGGAATTATTTTGCCTGGACATAGTTGTAAATATTTAATGACATAGTACACTATTCATACTCCATCATTAAAATTTTTTTTTCAAATGATTTAAGAATAGATATGTTTTGTTTGATCCTATGAGTGTATCCTCTAATTTATAAATATGGATATATAAAGAAGTATACACACATTTATAAATTAGATACAGCACTGTGTTGATTATTGATTGGTTGTTATTGATTATCCCTGAGATTAGTAAGATTATAGGTGATTTTTGTTTTTTCTTCTTTCTCCTCCATAATTTCTATTTACCAGCTGAATTAATTTTACAATAGGAAATAGCATACAAATCTAAAAAAAAAAAAGACTAAGGTGTTTGTTTTGTAAATTGTTTTAATACAGCACTCTATGAAACCTAACATATTGAAGGAAGATCCAACAAGGGACTTGAAACAGCTTCTCCAAGAGTTGAGAAGTGTGATCAACGAGGAACCAGCTGTGCCTCTGGGCAAGCCCGAAGAGGAAGGGAGAACACCATCCGTGGGGGTCTCCTACGTGGCTGTGTGAGCCTGGGTGTACTGCGGGATGGGAGAGCTTCTCTCAGCGTGGTTCCCTGTGTGAGGGGGAGGTTTAACTAACTTCGGAGACGACCTGACCTTACCAGGGAAAACAGTATGAAAGTGGAGGAACTAAGCAAAAGTCAAACAACTTGATATCAAGAGCAAATAATACAGTTATTCTGTTCAGAAAGAAATCGTCAAAGCAAGGTGTTACCCAAAGTTACATTCGTAATTTATAGGTCCCGACAGATTTTACATCCATAATCTTATTTGATTATCGTAACAACTGTTTGAAACAAGACAGGGCAGGATTTATTTAGCCCATCTTAAAAATGAGAAAAACATAAGTTTCAAAAGGCTGACTTGCCTGCAGCCACACAGTTCAGTGGTGGAGCTAAACTAGAACCGTGAGAATTACATGACTCTCCAGATATAATCTAGTAGGAGAGTCCTTGGTTCTCTAGGTATTCATGCCAATGACATATACCAAATTAATAAAAGATCACACCCAAAAAAGATTCAGTCAGTTCACCAGCCCTTCCCTGTATATACCTGCAGAAATTAATGAGATTCTCATATTCTTCTCAAATACGGTTTTAAAATTTTATTGTGTGTTATTATTAAATTAACAAAGCATTTTAATACAATACACACTATATTTTTAGTATTATAATTCTAATTATATACTAGCTGTTAGTATTACAACAACCTGTTGTAATATTCATTTTCTGGTTATATGACAAATACCTAAAAGTAATACTCTCCGAAATACTTATATATAAACAATCTTCAGTTTTTAAGATGTTCAGTTAGTATATGTTAACCTGAAGTGGCTAAATATTAGCTGAATTTATTTAATGTTTATTAATAATATTAATAGTAATAGCAAAATTGTAAGTGCAGCCCAGTTACATAGCATAACATTGCATTGTCTGAATCACATGTCGGAAACATTCCATTGGCCACCCCAGTGAGGAATGCATATATGTGCAAAGAACTTTTGTTTTTATGGGAACTCTATAATAGGCCTTCTAAGCCAGGGCAGTATTGATTATTAAGGTCATTTGACAGATGAGTAAATTTAGGCATAGATTGATTTGCCTTCTCCTATAAAGCAAAGAGGCAAAGCCAAAAGTAAAAGTTAGAGCCCCTGGCTCCCAGCACTAATCATTCCACAAAGATTACTATGATTTCTCTGGTGAGATGATTTCCATCACTTTAGCCACTAATCGTGGGCTTAAATTATATTGGACTGTATTGAACATGAACATATTTGGTCCCTGCCTTTAAAGAATGTATGTTACTTTGCTATAATCCTACAAATGACCTTGTCACCAAAGCCTAAACTCGGCCTAAAGATTTTAAGGGTCTATGAAAGCATTTCTGAGTTGATGAATTCCAGGGGCAGCCTTCTACAAAATTTGCTTGGAGGCCTAAAATCTACTGTTGTGCTTTAAAGAGCAATGGATTATTCTAAAAATACGTGGAATCTAGAAATTGTTCTTTGTATAAGTAACTGAGAGTTATATTTATCTACATAGAGATGATGGAGTAAGAGGTTGCATTACTGAATCAAGCCTGAGGTTAGAGAGATGCCTTAGGTAAGAAGAATCTGAGATTCTGATCTAATTAATTGTCCAAGAATTTTTTGTGTTTCCCGGTAATTTGGGAAGTCTGGACAGTTCACATGGGAATCAATGGGCATTTGGGCATTGAAGGAAAGCTGTTGCATTAACTAAAACTAAAGCGGATTTCAGTGTAATGTATTTTCTAGAAATCAACAGGAATCTTTTTGGCTTATTTTCAGTTTTGCTGCTGTTTACCCATAGGAAGATATTTACATGGTATGCCATACAAAAATGGAAGACTTTTTCTACATTTCACACTCATTTACAATGGCTTACCTAACTTTTGAGAGGAAGGTAGTCCAGAAGGAAAGTCTAACAACCTCAATACAGGATTATAAGAACCCCACAGAGAACAATCCCATTTTCCTCAGTAATTGAAGAGCTAAGTTTTTAAATGAAGTCCTAAAAAGAGCATAAAGAAATGAAATCCATAACCCCTCAACAAAGACAACCTCTTTTATTTTTAGCCAAGAAGGGAAAGTTAATATTAACCTGTTATCCATGTAAGACCCACAGGACATTGCTCTCAGGCCTTCATCAGCTCCTCACTGTCTGCTGTGTTAGTGACCTGGTCTCTCAGTCTGAAGTTGAGGGAGCTCCCTAACTTGTCACCAGCCCGCTTTACTCCCATAGTATGCTCTAACCAAAACAGACTACTCCTGGTTCCCAAAAGGAGTCAATTCCTTTCGTCTTCAAGCTGTTCTTCACATTGTTTCTCCACCTGGAAGAGCCAGTGCCCCAGTCTCACTCTTTGAATCAGCGTTGGTGTAAAAGCAGTGTTCAGAGGAACAGGTACTTTTATCATTAAGTAAAAATAACACTGTGTACTCTTTGTTTCTCCCACCCTTCTGCCAACAGAAGCAACAACTCATTAAGGGATTCCACTGAAGGTAGCAAATCCAGTGATACTCTCAGCAGGTGAGAAATGATCTTACCAGTCCCTGACTGTATGAGTCCCCATTTCTACTCTTTACTCATTAATTCAGTAGATGGTTAGCTGCCCATTACATGCCACACTCCACGCTAGGTCTGTAGAATGTAACAGTGGGCAAGACAGACATGGGCTTATAGTTTTAACATCTGTTTATTGACTGACTGCCTGGAAAAAAAAACCTTACTTTTATCTTTTCTATTTTCACCACCTAAAAAAAAAAATAGAGATATCAGAGCCTTTCTTATATCCTAAGACTATGAAAATGAATTCTGTTTAAATCCTGTTAGGTGGAGGCTAATTCATTGCTGTATATTCAGCACCAGAGTAGTCATTCAGTAAACATTTGTTTAGTGAATGAATTAAGACAGTATTATAAATATTTTCTTACTGTCTCCACTGCTTGATCAATATATACAATGAACTTGAATCTTTATAAAATATATCTTTCTTTTAAATGAGTTTTGATTTTCTTCTCCCCTAGGTGTGTGACACTACATAGAACCTATTAATAATATCTATAGCTATCTACGGCATATTTTTATTTTTACATTTTCTGGATGCTTTAGACTTATTTAGTCTATCTAACTTAATCTTTGATTTAGGCAATGTTATGTCCATATATGAATTAGAAATGAAGACTCAGATTGCTTAAGCAACTTGCCAGAGTCATACAGCTTGTAAACAGTGGAGTCAGATTTGAACTCAGGTCTTGCTGGCCCCTGAGCTCAGGTGTGTGAGCACATCTGTGTACCTAGACCGAGCTCCCTGGGAAAGAGCCCAATCCTAGGCATGGAGCACAGAGGGGCTACTCCCCTAAAATATGTAACGCTCTGCTCTAGTTTTTCTATGACCAGAAAAACCTGTTTTTTTCAGCAATGATGTGTTTGTGAAGAGAGAGATTGGGGAGGAAAAGCTGGACCTGGCCCCTTCCTGTGTTCAAATGGGAAGAAGAGGTTTTCTTTCTTTCTTTTTTTTTTTTTTTAAGATTTTATTTATTTGAAAGAGAGCATGCACGTATGGGAGCAGGGTGGGGGATAGGGAGAGAGAATTTGAAGCAGACTCCCTGCTGATAGTGGAGCCTGAGGCGGGAGTCGATCTCATGACCCTGAGATAATGACCTGAGCCCAAACCAAGAGTCGGACGTTTCACTGACTGAGCTGTCCAGGCGCCCTGGGAAGAAGAGGTTTTCAGATATTTTATAGAAGCTCTGAAAAGTATGAATCATACTAGAAAATTAAGGAAGCACTTGAATGCTCTCTACTGTGGCCAATTGGTCATTTTTAAAACTCACACCTAAAAAAATGAGAAAGGATACCACCGTTGCTGTTTTACTACAACATTTCACTGTCATTGCGGCATCTTTGCTTCACTCAATATCTTATGGCAACATTTCTTCATTTAGAAACTTCTGCAACCTTTTAAGTTAAATCAATATAGTCCGTATACCTGGAACAGAATAAAAAATTAAAGACATGAGCACTTCTGTATGTGGATTTGTGCTTGAATTACTCTGAGAGCCACATCTCTCAGAAGTTTTGTAGAGAATTGACTTTTCTTATTTTGTTATGTTATTATAACAATGGGCAACATTATGCCCTAAGGGAGGTTTCCAATAAAGGCTTCAAAACATCTAGCTCCCTTTTACACATCTCTATATGGATATTTCAGGAGCTGAAACATACTGACCCTGAAGATCATAATGACCAAGACGAAGCAAAGGCCATCATTCCACGAAACCATCCCCCCATCTCATCTTCTGTTTCTGTAAATGGCACCCTGATTTTCAGGGCACCTCTGCTTAAACTCTTAACATTATCCTTGATTCTTCTTTCTCCTTTGTCTCGTTTCTCTAGTCACTAAATCTTATTAATTTTGACTCTAAAGCAGTTCTCAAATCCATTTTCTTCTTTGTACATCCTCTCAAACCCCTCTGTATTAATTCCCTATGGCTACTGTAACAAAATTAGTGGCTTAAAACAACACAAATTACATTTCCAAGGAGGCCCAAAGTCCTCAGTCAGTTCCATTGGGACAAGTCACAATGTTGGCAGAGCCACACTCCCTCCAGAAGCTCTTGGGGTTAATCCATCTCCTTACCTTTTTCCAGCTTCTAGAGCTTCATTCCTTGCACTCTGGCTCATGGCTTCTCCCTTCATCTGCAGAGAGCAGCATAGCATAGCATCTTCAAATCTCTCTGCTGAGATTGCCACATTGTCTTCTCGCTTCCGAATGAAATCTCCCCCTTCCTCCCCTTATAGACGCTTGGGATAACCTCCCGGATAACCCAGGATAATCTCCCCATCTCAAGACCCTTGATTTCATCACATATGCAAAATCTCTGTAACACTCGTAGGTTCTGGGTATTCAGAAGCAGATATACATGGCAGCCATGATTCAGCCTACCACACTGCTTTAGGCCTCACTCCCTTTCTCATTAGGCTCTTGTGGTGGCCTTGACAGTGTTTAGCGTGGATGTTTTGAAATCTCCAGTCTCTTGCACGTTCCAGTCACTTCTGTATATCATTTTCAAATTGATCTGCCTAAAGCACACATCAGACTATGTCTGTTTCCCAGCCCCAAAACCTTCAAAGGCACCCCACTGCCTACTGCAGCAGAAACAATCTGCCCTGAGAATTAAGGCTATGCATAATATAGCCACGGCCTTCCTTTCCACAGCTTTTCTCCTAATACAGCTATCCTCAAACTTTTTGGTCTCAGGCCGCCTTTGTAGTCACAAATATTGAAGATTCCTAAGAACTTTTGTTTGTGTAGGTCATTTCTATTGCTATTCTAAGTATTGGAAAATAAGTTTTTATATTAAGCATTTTAAAAATTTAAAACATTGTGATATACATTTAGAAATAACTAAGTTGGGCGCCTGGGTGGCTCAGACATTAAGCGTCTGCCTTCGGCTCAGGTCATGATCCCAAGGTCCTGAGATCGAGCCCCACATCGGGCTCCCTGCTCGGTGGGAAGCCTGCTTCTCCCTCTCCCACTCCCCCTGCTTGTGTTCCCTCTCTCGCTGTGTCTCTCTCTGTCAAATAAATAAATAAAATCTTTAAAAAAAAAAAAAAAAGAAATAACTAAGTTTATTACATGTTAACATAATGGCACTTTATTATAAAAAATAACTTTGTCCAAACAAAAAATTTTGGGGAAGGCATTGTTTTACAACTTAACGTGTGGCTTAATAAAAGACAGTTGGATTCTCATATCTGCATCTGCATGTAATCTGTTGTGACATCAGATACCGTGGAGCCTCTGGGAAACTCCACTGTATACTTGTGAGGGACTGAACATTAAAAAGCAGATAATATCTTAGTAGTATTATAATGAAAACAGTGTTGACATCACAAACCCCCTTCAAGGGAACCACTACCATCCTATTCTTACACCATTACCCAGACCACAGAGAACAGTGTGGTTGATTTCAACTTGTTGATTTAAATAAGTCTGATAGTTTTGTAAAGTGATGCTACTGTTGCCAAGAGAGGTTCCTTTTTTTGTCCTTTTTTTTTTTTTTAATAAGTTACTAGGATTGTGTCTCTTGGAATCCATGAGAGAAATATTTGGGTTTTATAGCTATTACAAAAAATGAATCTTCTAACCAATATTATTACATTTCTGTTCTGCAAAATGTTCATGGGTACTGAAGGCATAAAGATAATGTAACTTTGGATCTCCCTCTTAGGGTATTTTAGGATTTCTGCACTTTAGGATCATAACTGCCATCTTTAGTTTATATTTTAAGTTATCACTTTTATGTGTGTTAGTTTGCTTCTGTCCATAAATCTTAACACTGTGTTTGTGGAATGGAATGTTTGCATGACCATCCTTATGCTTCCAGAGAACCCGTCACATTACACACAGGAGACTTGGAAGATCCATCTAGTTGCTTTACATTCCCATCCACAGGTGAGTATTCACTGAAAGTACAGAAATTGGGCCTGTCTAAAATTCCAGTGGCTCCTCATTTTCATGAGAGTAGAAGGCAGGTATTACAGTAGCCTATAAGTCCCCATTAACTCTCCAGACTCGCTTCTTCCTCCTCCTCTCCACCCCCCACCCTCATCACTCTGCTTCATCCTCCCGTGAATTGTTCCTTGAACATGCCAGGCAGCTTCTATACTAAGGCTTTTACACCACTGTTCCTTGCATGTTGCTTAATCCCTCAGCTCCGTTAAAGCCATTGCTTAGGTGTCACTTACCCAGTGAGACTACTCTTACCACCTTATGTAAAAATTGTAACTCTGCCATCCTCCCAGTCACCCTGTTTCTTTTTTAAAATCACACTTAGTATATTTTTAATATGTAAATTACTAATTTATGTTGTTCATAAAGATGACTGTGTCACCTCCTGCTAGACAAAAGCTGCACGAGGGCAAATGTCTTTAATTGTTTGGTTTCCTGATATATCCCAAGCACATAGCAGGTGCTCAGTAAATATTTATTGAATGGATGAAAAGAGAAAAAAGAATGGAGACAGATGGTTCTTTTCATGATTTCCAAAGGCGTATAATCCTGTCTATAAAATAGGGAGATCAAGGAAGAAAATGGAAGATACCAGAATCTGTTGAAAAACAAAATGGCATAACAGACTAGAAATGGAAAAGAATAATAAAGTCATTACAGGGGAAAGCCCTAGGGAAAATATAAATAGGATAGGCATGACTGAAATCACATAAACTTGATGGACTTCCTAGAGAAAATTACACGAAAGATGAAAAATAATTACAGAGAGTATATTAGATTTGGAAGTTATAATTGGTCTTCCTATAGAAGAGAATAAAATGAATGGGGGAAAGAATGAAACTGAAAATGATAGTTATTCAACAGAAGTGTAGCTATAAATCTGGACAATAATAATGTAAATAGGGAAAAATGAGGTGTGAAGTAAAAGAGATAGGAGAAAGATAAGTTTCCGTGGTTTCTTGTTTTTAATGGAAGATTGTCAATCTATATCTAAAATCAAAACAATAATTTTAAATAAAATAAATGCAAATTCTTAATTTTTAAATAATCTTTAACTTGTGAGAAATCTTTACAAACTAGTATTTTGAAGAAAAAGAGCATTTATTTGAAGTTAATGCTTTTTACTTCACTTACATGTTTTTACTGTGGTTTTAATAATTACAAGAGACTACAACATATATCCTTGCCTTATTAGATTAAATGAGTGCTTTTTCTTTTTTGCCTGCGTTGGGAGTACTTTAGAGCATGTTAATTCCATTCACTATCCTTTCAAATTACATACAATTGTTGTCACATATGTATTTTAATTATAAAGGTGAATACCACAGTGGATAATTTGCATTGTTTTTATAGTTAATATCCATTTAGATATACCCACATATTTATACTTTACTTTCTGTCTGGTATCATTTTACTCTTATGCCTTGAATTTTTCCTTTAATGGAAGTCTGCTGGTGATACATTCTCTCAGTTCCTGTTTTTCTGCAGGAACTGTTTGGGAACATTTTCTCATGAAAGTTTGACTTTTTAAGAGGTGCAATATACTATTTTTAGTTAATTCTGTCCTTTACTTTTGTTCTTGCCAAATTTTAGCAAGTCCATCTGTGAAAAATTCAGCTTCTCGTTCATTCCATTCTTCTCCTAAGAAGTCTCCAGTTCACTCACTCCTAACTAGTTCAGTTGAAGATTCAGTGGGTTCCACATCACAATATAGATCCACCAAACCTGTTCATTCACCTGATCCTGTTAAAGGTAAGAATGATTTGGTATCACTGATGAGATTAATTGATTTCCTGCTCTGGTGAATTGAAAGTTCTTTTCCATAATCAGAATTAATAAGATTTTACATGATGTTCTTATGTGCAAGCTCTAACTGATGCTCTTTAACTTAAGTGAGTCTTATTTAAATAAAACAGCTATTGTGTGTGCACGCGTGCACACACACACACACACTCACACACTCCTTAATAAATATGCAGAAATATTATATGTGAATATTTTCTCTTTCTTTCTCTGACATGAGTAATTAACTCCCCCCCCATTTTACTATAATTTGGGTCTTTTTTTATAAATGCTGTGACTTACCTTATTTACGTTCTTTAAAACCATGGCTCTCTTCAGTCTCAGCCTTCGTAAGTGCAAGTATCAATCATACAAACTTGTCAAAATGTTCTCATTTTTAAATTTTTAAGTTCATTTGTTATTTGCTCAGACAGATGAGAAAAATGGTTTGAGTTAGATTTAAGTGGACGTTAGGTATGTGTACGTAGATGTTGAATTGAATGTGAAATGTTTTTCCGTCTATGACAGCAGCGCAGGCAACCCCAGTGCTCTCAGGCAGCGTCCCCTTTGACGAAGGGTAAACTGGGCAAATTGTTGCATCACTGCTCAGGCAGCTTTTAGTCTTTAGGAATTCTCTGCCTCACACATTTCTAGATTCCCTCCAAAATACGAAAATCACAACCTAATCACAGATGTTAATACATTTTCTTTTTTACCATCTTTTTTCTGCATTTTGCCTCCTTCGTCCCTTACGTTTCTAAGTTATCCTTTAGTATTTTTAAAAACTTTAGAGCAGCAAATTCTTTAACTATTAGAGCAGGGACTTGCAGGAGTAGAACAATACTTCTGGTCACCTCATTATTAATTTGTGATTACCTAATAGCATGGCATTTTTTTCTATTGTCAGATACTCATCAAACACCATATATTATTTATGTGAAAACTATCTCGGGAACTGTTTTTCATCCTCTTGAACTAGAATAATTCTTAGATGATTGCCTTTAATACTAATATCTGCACAGAAAAGGGGCTTTTTTTTGATAGGAAAATGAGCCACCAAAAAATATTTTCAAGATTATACAGCAAGTCAGGGACTAAGATCAAAATTAAAACTTCAAGATTGCCAATCAATCTTTTTAGAGATTGGCAAAACTGAGCACACTTATTAGAGTTTAGCTGACATGCTTCTAGCCCCCTTCACCTGCCACTGCCACGTTCATTCTAGGCTCACTGCGGCCATGTCAGCGTCCGCACCCTTGCCCCCACCATGTAACACTGTCCTCACTCAGGGCACAGCCACCAACACGGGCACTTGGTCTCATGCACATTCAAAACTGTTGCCAGTGGCAGTATTAAATCTTGCTCTTCCAAACCCTAAGTTAACGGAGCTACTCAGGTTTGGTATGGAAAGCTGTCATTTATAATGCAGAACATATCATTAAATTTAAAGTATTCCTCTCACTCATCCCATTTAATGCTATGTAGTTAAATAACAATAAATCAGATTGGTTTGAAACAAATAAGCTAGTATTGCAATATTTAGATAAAACACTTTTTTATTTTTAAATAGTGTTTTAAAGTTTCCATTATTTTAAAGGGAAGGTTGTTTAACCTGTAATTGGAAGATTTCTAAAATACCGAACAGACTTTTAATATCACATCTAAGCAATTTTCTAATAGCTTCACAGTCTCAGCCAATAGAAACAACAGGAAAAACATGCAGGAAGCTTCAGAACAGACTGGAAAGCTTGCAAACTCTGGTAGAAGATTTACAGATGAAGAACCAAGGTACTGTGCACATTTCAGAGAGATCTTCCTTGCTCAAAGGAGTACTCACCTTCCCTTCAGGTTAAGCCTCCTATCTATAGAACCGCTGAAGAGGATATGGAATAAGCAATTCAGAAATCTTAGTCAAAATATGAAGGTCTTAGCCATGAGTAATCCCTGAATTAATTATTAATTAAGTAAGTAAGTAAGTACAACCCCGGGCAGGTCACCTAAGCCCCACTCTACTCTGTCATCTAATAGGGACGAGAACACTGCTCATCAACCCTCGGTAGCACACGTTTCAAGCAGTTTTTCACATGAGACTTTCCCACACACTGTCTTTCTTGTCCCTGTGAGGTCTGTACCAAGCATTTGTATGACAGTAGTCAGGATAAGATTGCAGTTGATAGTTAGAAGACAAAATAACCCTATTTCACCTTTACACAGGATTTAAATTAGCATAGGCTAGAAGAGACTGTGCCACCCAGTGAATCACTAAATAAAAAAGAGAAACTACTTTTAAATGTACTAAAGCTGTTGGATTGAGAAACTATCGTACTCTGCAGATGGGAGGCAACTTTTGGGGCATAAGTTCTAAGTGGGTGTTCCCATGGATGTGGGAGGTTATGGATATGTTCCATGGATTTGGGAGGGCTATCATGTTTTATGCTTTTCTGGTATAAATTCATGAATCCAGGAGCCTTTGTCAGAGAGAAATAATTTTGGAGTATACTTGTTATTCTTAGTCCATCTTTCCGTCCCTAGGGAATATAAGTTGCTAGATGAAGGATAATAAATATTTTTCTAAGAACAATTCCTTCTCAAGTAAATTTAACCTTACTAATAATAACAGAAATAACAGCTGCTATTAGTATTTACTGAGCACTTACCAGCTATGTGCCAGGCGCTGTACTCTGTGCTTGACTTACATTTTCTTTATGTGAGCCTCACAACAACACAGGGAGGTGGGTACTAATATCAGGTCATTTGAAAAGGAGGAAACTGAAGATCACATCACAGTCAGTCAGTAAGTTCTAGGTCACACAATGAGTAGTAGAGCTGGGACTTGATCTCTGCGATTGCTGATTCCAAAGCCCACTTTTTTTTTTTTTAATATGTTAAGGCTATACCAAATTGTTATTAGGGAAAACTCCAAATCCCTTCCGATAATCCCAGATCCCTATGTATATACATCAAGAAAAACATTTGATTTTAAGTTTATTGTGATTTTTTTAAAGGATGCATTATCTTATTGGCCCCGTTTTTATTCACATTTTGACTTCATTTCTGAGTATATATCTGAGTATACACTCAATATAATAATGTAATAACCTAAGTGGGAGACGTATCTGTTTAAAAAATAAAAAGACCTTTTTATTTGATGCATTGTCTGGATGGAATGTCTCTTGGAAATTATGAAACAGATATTTTGGAGAGAATTTTGGTAGCATTGATCAAAATTTAAATTGCACATATGTTTTGACCCAGAAATTCCACTTATAGCAATTAATTCAAGAGAAAATTGTACAAACACATAAAAGCCTGTTTACAAATAGCATTGTTTATGAAAATAAGAAAGCAACTTTTTAATTTAAATCCAATTAGCCAACATATAGTACATTATTAGTTTCTGATGTAGTGTGCAACAGTCCATCAGTTGCATATAACACCCAGTGCTCTTCTATCTTAATGCCCATCACCCAGTTACCTCATCCCCCCACCCCCCTCCCCAGCTTGTTTCCTAGAGTTCAGAGTCTCTTATGGTTTGTCTCCCTCTCTGATTTCTTCCCAGTCAGCTTTCCCTCCCTTCCCCTATGATCCTCTGCACTGAGAAAGTAGCTTTTTCTACTGAAGTGTAGTTGACAATGTTACATTAGTTTTGGGTGTAGGACATAGAGATTCAACTTCTCTGTACTTTATGCTGTGCTCACCACAAGTGTGGCTACCACCTGTCACCCACCATACAACGCAATTACTATACCACTGACAATACTATTCCCTTTGCTGTACCTGTCATTCCCATGACTGTTTCATTCCATAATCAGAAGCACGAGAAAGCCACTTTTTAAAATTTTATTTACTAACATGTTGGTACATTCATATAATGGAATACTGTGCAGTCATAACAAAACATGAGCTGAACTGGAAAAATGTTGACTTCTTTTAGGTGAATAAAGCAAGCTACAGAACAGCTCATACCACATATTTCCATTTGTGTAAAGCAAAGTGTGTGTGTGTGCGCGTGCGTGTGTGCGTGCACACGAATATATTCACCAAACTGTTTTCCGTGATGGCCTCTGAGGGGGGTTCAGCAGATTGGGGGAGCAGAGACAAATACTGACCTTCACCTTCGTCTCTCTTTGTGCCCTTCTGAGGGGTTCAAATTATTTACAGTTAGTATGTCTTACCTCTATAATAATTATGTTCATTTAAAACAACTGAAAGAGTAAAGATTTACCCTTAGCTATTTAATATCAGTCTTTTCAAAAATATGCTACTTTGAAATGTTTAAGAACTTCCTGAGCTCAGAACGTATCTATTCTATAGTAGCAAGCTGACCTTTTAAGAAGCACATTATAGAATTTAAAGCCAGAGCAGATGTTGCTAATCTAACTTTGTTTTATCAACATTTTCAGCAATGTCTTCAATGATCAGAAATCAAGAAAAGAGGATACAGAAAGTGAAAGACCAGGAAAAAATGTTACTAAAATGATACATTGCTTGCCTCTTCTTTACAGAAGGATGAGGCCCAATTAATTGTGGTGGTGCTTATAGATAGTGCCCTGTGTACTTTTTTTCTTTTTATGTGAAAATTGAATAAAAGATACCCTGTCCTGTAAACTCTATTTTGAAATAAACTATTCTTGAATGCTCTCACAGTAAAACTTTAAACTGTTCTAGCTAGATGTGAAAGAAATGCATACCTTATAAGGTATTAATTGGTGCTAAGACTAGTGTGCTGGAATAATTATGTGTTTTTTATTATCTTTACTGGTGCTTAAGCAATACTCTTTTCTGCTTTAAAAACAAAAACAAAAACTTCACATGCAAGTAAAATATGTGGTATAATGCCCAGAACAAAAGGACAAACTCCAACGTATTACAGGGATTCCTTTTGTGACCCTGAACTCACTGTTCCGTCTTTATCAATGAATGTCATCAGATAACAGAACATTGGGGCCCCTAATTAAAACTTTTGGAAA